TAGGTTACCGTACGGATTGCATTTTTAATCTTAGTTACTTTATATTAAATCTGGACTTAAAGCTTTCGTGACTGCTGGAAATCATATTCTTTGGGTTTTTCGGTAAAGCCAAGTAGATATAATTATTTTTTACTTTATATTGGCAGATTCATCCGTGATTATTCAACAATGGGATTTATCGTATGATATAATTTCGCGCCCCCCACACCTTCCCCCCCTGGGACATTGCCACGTACCCGCCGATCGAGAACCACTGCTCTAAACATTACGTTGCAGCCGCGATGGAATAAAAAGGTGGTGGTGGTTCTTGTCGTCGGGAACAAACGTGCTCGCTACCCATCGGTCCCGTGAGGAATCACCAAAAATAAAATCACCCGGAATATGTCCCTGCTCCAAGAGGAGTTAGGCCCGGATACCATCCTTGGGATGGGTGACCACACCACGCATCGCAGGTGTTATAGGCTGTCGGGCTGCGCGCTCGACTACAGAGCAGAGGTCGCAATCGGGTACCCAATACCCGTACCCTACCCGATACCCGGCTACCCGTACCTGACCGGGTACGGGTACCCGTTTGCGACCCTGGTGCGGCCGGGTACGGGTAGGCCGTAAGTCACTAGTGAGTAACCGTTTGTCACTCATTTCGGGTAGGGTACGGGTAGGGAACGGGAACCCGTACCTGGCCGGGTACGGGTAACCATTTGCGACCCTGGTACGGCCGGGTACGGGTACGGGTAAGAAATCAAAACCCGTTTGCGACCTCTGCTACAGAGATGGCGATTGCCACGCATTAAAGATGTTTGCCATGAGGCTGTGGTGCAGAGATGGTGGGCAGCGGAGGGCAGCGGAGGGCAGCGTTGGGGGCGGGGGGGGGTTAGAATCCATCGTTGCGCAATCGCGTACTTCTGTGCTCCCGCATATAAGTTTTCACCGACCCGTAAGAGCACGACGAAGCAACGTCGCAATAACCCTCACGACCCGCACAGGACGCCCCTCGTCCAGCAGCGGATCGACTCTAGGGCGGCTTTTGTAAAACGACGATGGGAGAGGGAATGTGTGACGATGAATCATTGGCCAGAAGAAGGCGGGCAGGCATTCCGTCTCTCGGTGCGCACCTGTCAAAGCTTTGCTTGCCACCGCTTTGTAAGAGGGAGACAGGTGAAGTGAGATGGATAGGTAACCCCAATGCCGAAGCTGCCTGGCTGGGTTCGGTTGAGCGAGGCGGTTTTGAAATATATCGGTTGTCGGCATGGAGCTGTGGCGCAGCAGAGCGGTTAGCGACACCGCGCTCTGAACCCAGGAGACCCGAATTGGATTGCGGGGCCACGGTTTAGAGTCGTGCATAAACCCGTCCCGGGCATTACCCAATTTCAACAAGGCCCGCACCGAACAGCATGCTGAAAGCATGGTACGCCGCGACTTCTGCCATGGGGGATGTGGAATGTTTCACCGCTGTCTTGAGGGCCGACCGACAGATGGGCATCAGCTCACCGCTGTTCAGCAAGGAGACTCTTCACCTTGCACTTGCATCACCAAAATACCACGGCTTAATTATTGCATTGAACTGGGGGAAGGAATGCACGCGCTCTGGGACATGCCGGAGCTTCAATCGTCACTCTCTGTGGCGCTTTGGAACCTCACAATGGGCAGCGTCCTTCAAATTATCCCCATGACTTGGCCTCGGTGTATATCAATGCATAAAGCAACGAGAGAGGTCACAGATCTGTGGCCGCAGATAAAGAAGTGAAGCTCGGCGTTGATGGCCAGAGGTTTTCACCAGTTGCTTGGCCCGCGTGCCCTTACAGTGGGCCGTGACGTTCAGATAACCCCTAGAGATTGCAATGCTACCCACCCCATCACCAAAAGCTTCCCCCCGTACCTCTTAGCAAGTTCCCTGTACACGTGGACCGCGGTAAGCGAGATGTTAATCACATCGCCTGGTATTCAGGTGGTCGTGGGTTCGATCCCGACGCCTGTATATTGAGTCTGTCCATAACAGGTTTTTTTGGGTTAGATCGGGTAAATGTGTGTTGTTAAACCCACCACCACCCGACACAGCCAACTAGTAAGGGTTGTCACGTAAACAGAACATGCCAATGCGTCACTAGTACAGCACTAACCGGTGTGTTGGAGAGCAAAGCCACAACATTTACAATTTGAGTACGACGTTTCGCAATTACAACTAGCTTCATCAGGCTGGTGGTGGTGGGGGCCCTTACATGAATATTAATGAGATTGTGTTCTCTCTGGTAAAATGTCAATTAATTATAATCAATACGACTACCCCCTCCTCCCTGCTGTGCCCCGGCTTGCACTCTGCTCGTCTCCACTCCGCCACTAAACGACCACCATCAACCCACACACAGGGACTGCTGGTATACCACCCTGACCCTGTTATTTAATCGAATTTGCCCGATGATGCTGGATGCAATTACCAGCGAAACGTCGTACTCAAAGTACTAAAAAATTGAAATTGTTGTGGTTTCACGCTTCAACACACCGGTGGGCTAAAGCAGTGAACTATTTGTCTTTTGTCAACGTGACACTTTTTTGCTGATTGGCCGTGTCGGGTGGTGGAGGGTTACGACACATTTATAAATAACGCGATCTAAACTCAAAAACGTTGATTATGAATAATATTGGTCGCGAAAAGGCCTACGTCTTAAACAGACATAACTTAAAACAAACCCCACGATTATCTGACCAAACAGCCGCTGGTAATGCACAGCTACTTACAGCATGAAGCTTGGCTGTTTCTCCCTGCTTAGCTCTTCTCTCTCTCTACTGCTGGCTGGATGTTGGGCTGAGCCTGTTTGCGGGTGTTATCCTTCTGCTCTGGCTTCTTCACACACACGTGTCTGTGTGTGTGCGTGGATCGTGTTCTCGAGCGAGATCCTCACACACGCACGAGCCGTGGACTGGGCTGGGCTTGCTTCATTGATTAATTTGTGAACGGAATGAAGTCTAACACGTGGCCGGAACATCGTTTACAGCACATGCACCCCCCCCTCCTCCTCCCGTAACTGTTTGGAATTACCTCGTCATACACGAGGGGGGAGGGGGGTTCCAATGCCAATTAATTTCCTTAAACAACCTGCTCGTCATCACACCCCACCCCGCCACCACTTAAACAATGTGGTCCGCACCCTCCACACTGCACAGTCAAATTGTTTTTAATTCTCAACAGGCTTTGTACCGGGGGCTCCTACTGAGAAATTATTCTTTAAAAAAAAGATTACAAAACAACAATCTCATCTACAGGGTGGCTCAGATGTCTTGTGAGCCCCCAATTAATTGACCCCTGCGTTTGTTTCTCCCTTTGCATGTTAATTTCTGTTTTAAATAAACTTTACTTTAAAATTGTATGCCGTTTTAGAGAATGAAATGGGGATCACAAGACATCCGGACCGCCCTGTAAATTTACGTGGAGTTTATTTTAGCCTCGGCGTTACTTGTATCACCTAGCACCGTCTCTCACAACCCAAGCCTATAACACCTGGTATTCTCCCGTGAAAATGCTAACTCGGCCTCATATCCTCAGTGGGCTTTGCCAGATCGAGTGGGGATGGTTTCGTGTTGTATGTGTGTGTTGTTGGGTGATTTGTTTAGTTTTCTCGAACTTTGGGGCCGTTCATAAATGACGTCACGCGATTTTGGACGATTTTTGACCCCCCCCCCTCGTCACACGACGTCACAAAAAGTCAGACCCCCCCCCCTCAAATATGACGTTACAAAGCTCTGCCCCCCCCCCCCAAATTTGTTTAAACATGCTTCAAATCGCTTTAAACTATTGTCATTGTAGTGCGTATTTAATGTGCCACTGCACTCTGATGTTGTAGGAGGAAACATTTATTAAAACGTCTATTCAATTAAGTAGAACGTGTTGTCTATTTTTATTTAAAGTTTCGCAATTTGACGTGACGTCATATTTCTCACCCCCCCCCCCCTCGTCACACATCGTCACAAATGTCTGATTCCCCCCCCCCCCCCCCAGGTGCGTGACGTAATTTATGGACGGCCCCTTTGCACTGCTGCCGTGTGTTTGTATTGTTCAATGTTGTAACGTTCTTACCCGCCCCTCCTGGACATCCGTGCAAAAAAAAGCTTCATAGCTCATCGGATTCCTCCAGTATAAATAAATATTCCGATTCTGCCTAGAAACGTTGCTGAAAAATCTACAGACGCCGTTCATACACTTCTTACGTCTCGAGAAGCTCTTGGGCAGCATGGTTCAACAGGCTGATGTGGTGGTTGTGACCTGGTTGAGACTAATGTACTTGTTGTGCTGAAATAAACTTGCTTTATCCAGGCACGAGACTCAGATTCAAGCCCAAGCTTACATCAATGCTGTGTTGGTATGTATGAACTTCTTTCGCACCGTACGTAGCCAACGGTGCAAATCGGAGGTGCCGGGGAATGACAACAAACTAAACACAACAAGCGGTTCTAGATTTGAAGCTTTCCTGACTGCAAGGATTCATACTCTTAGGTTTTTTCGGTAAAGTCACGTAGGGAAATAAATAAATAAATAACAATATATTAATAATAAAATACTAATAACAATCGAAATAAAATAATAAATCACATTTCGGGCGCAACACAAGCGTCCGTCATTAGGTGGGACAACCACAGCAAGAAAAAATTGCAATGCGCCCGAAGCGGTTCTAACTAAATGAGTTGTCAATTTCTAAATAATGAGTTGTCAATTTCGCTTTAAAAGTGCACAGCTCCCAGTGCCTTCCGAGTATCGGAACTCGGAAGGACGGCCGCAGAAGCGCATCTGAAAGCGCTATCCCTCCTTGGAAGACGGGATCATTTCCCCAAGTCGCCCATTCACGCGCACACGCTTCCAATGCTATTGGCATCTCTTAAATGCAACACATTTAGGATGTGGATTCCCACAAGGTTGTAACATCGAAACCGCGTCTCGAGACTTGCGCAAAACAGTGGGTCACATATATAGAAGAATAATGGCACAGAACTGTTCGTTATTATTTGTTTAATGAGTGTCACGTTTATACAATTGTGAACATTTTAAATAAGTAGGCTATTGCTTTACAAAAAAAAAACGATGATACATTTTTTTTACAACCTTCTGACAGTTTGTTGCATTTTAAACGTTAGCGACCAGATAGATATCCCTTGTGCAAAGATAAAGAGCCTCCATATAGCCTGTAACAGACTGTTGGGGCAAGTGCTGTTAGCAAGCACTTATGAAGGCCAGAACGGCACACAAGGGGGTGGTGGGTGGCCAGCACCACGCCCAACCGCCTTTGTCTCCCCAGTAGCAATGTTTACACACCACACCAAATACTAATTTGAGGCTGAATTAACCTAGGGGAGGGCCCAGAACCGGTTCAGAAAATCGCCACTAGCGTTGTCCGTGAGCGGGAATCGAACCCAGGTCGCCAGGTTCGTAGCGCAGCGCGCTAATCGCTCCACCACCGCTCCCATAAACGCCCCTTGTGCAAGCACGCACACACTTTGAGCAGAACACCGTCTTGTGGCAGCGGCGAGCGTTACCATCGACGCCGGGCAACCTGCGGTTAACTTCCTTCGTGTGCCTTGGGCAATGATAGAATGACACTGGCAGTCTCCTCTCGCACACGATGCCACGGGATCTCTTAACGCTTTCCCGACAGCAGCGAGCACTCGATTGTAATCCATCCCCGTGCAAAGTTACGAGACGGCCGTAGAAAAAGTGATTATTTGGCGAAATCCCACCCCCTCCCCCACCCCCTCCCCCACCCCGAACACTATACGCAGGTAAAGCCTTATCAAGTGACATTCACGCAAGCCAAGGGGCCATGGTTCGTGAATTATAGCAGGAAGATAACCTTTTTAACCTTTTGAAACTAAGGGCGACCGGAGATTGCGTGTGTTAGCTCTGTGCGTCTGTTTGTCCACCCCTTAATGAGGAGGGTTATGATAACTCTCGCACACGCTGTCCACCATGAGCTGCGCATGAGTATACTACGGGTGTGTTGGCGTAGTCACGTGTATTGTATTTTGGAAATTAACCCGTAAAAACAAAGTTTTTCACTATAAATCCTTTATATGCGTGGCGGCTAGAGTCCTCTCGTCCTCTGGCTTGAGATGGCTGCTACTTATGGGTCAGATGATTGCCTGCCACCATTAAGCAATTGGTAATTAAATATAAAAAAAAAATTCCTAAAAAGTGTAAAAATTTGTAAAAAAAAATTCACGAAAATTAATTGTCACGCACAACGAGTCTGTGTGCAAAATGTCAGCTCGATTGGATCACGGGAAGTGGGTTAAAAAACGACCGAAAGATTTGCACGGTCGTAAGCGCGCAAGCAAGCAAGCAAGTGAACTTAATATAAAGGATTAAAAAAATCGGCCAATTTGATCGATGAATTGCCCAACATTTGAAGGCACAGTCCTCGAGTCTAGAGCAATGTGCTTCTTCACCTTTGCTGCAGCCTTGCAGCCCATTGCTTCTCGATCGTTAAAAAAAGTGTTGATAATAATTAGATGGGTTTGATGAAACAAAGAAGGTGTACATAATAAAGACCGCGTAACCCAAACACTTTGATTACGCGTTAAAGTAGCTGTACTCAACGTGCACCGTGCTTAATTTGTGTTTTCGATGATTTACCTTCTAAAAAAATCTGCCCGTGTCTCGCACCCCCAGATTAAGAAGAACCACTGCTCTGGAGTATAAAAGGACCATCGAAAACATATATGAACGCGTTTTACTCTGACGGCTACCTGTCCATCCGTCGGGTTACGCACTGCTAATTAAATACTTACGATGACAAACGGGCATTGGGAAGCGTTACGGAATCCACACGTGTGCACGATTTTTTTGTTACAATTTTTTTTTCTGAATGGTTGAAGGTTTATTGGCGACATGAAGCAAATCACATCCGCACGAACTGGAAACGCGGGTGAATGGACACGTGAAGGTTCCAACTGCTCCTAATATCTTAATGCAACTCCCCACGACATTTGTGATTGTCCTGCATATTAAAATTTTTGTTGACAAAAATAACGCGAATCTTTAAAAAAAAATACAACGCGATATTTCATACTTCGTCTCTTTTTTTTTTTGCTACAAAACGAGTCAACTTTTTTAACACCGAAAATAAATAGCAAAGCCAGTTTTGAGCTTTACTTGACGCACAGATGATACTCACAGTATGTAACAATATTGCATCTCTGCCTGAGTGAGGATTTAACGGGCAATTCAATCAATGACTGGGGCAACACGAACGTGATTGTTGCTCAATTATATCTCCACCCCTCATTCAAAATGTATCTTTACAGAAACCCTAAACTGATATGTAAACTTGTACAGCCTTCGCCTACACTTTGCACTCCTATCGTTTAGTTTGTTTGTTGTTGTAACGTTTTGACATCTTTGAAAAAGAGCTTTATAGCTCATGGGATTCCTCCAGTATAAATAAGTATTCTGATTAAAGTTTCCTATTCAAATTAATTGTATATTCGTTTAATGTGTTTTTATGTAATATTTTGATCTTTCTGAGCTTTGATGTTTGGTTTAAAACAAAAATTTCGATGTAATAAACCGGTACATTACTGCCTTATTGATCTCCCGTGGAAAAGAAAGTGTTGTTTAGCTTGACCGGGCTGCCATCCAGCAGTGGAGTGGTAAAGGGCTGTTGTTGCGTCAAGTCACACCGGCGAAACGGCAACTTGCAGCACGTGGCCCGGATGAGCGAGAACTCCACATCGCCGTTGGCCTCTTGCTCCCCGAACGCCGATTCGTTTTTTTCCATCGCCTGCCACTGGCCCTTGCATGGGTACGGCTCACGTTGGGCATCAGCGTGGCGCCAGTCTTTTCGCTGTCAGCATCAGCGGCAGCACCGGCCAGCGTGGTGCCAGTCCTCACGCTGGCAGCATCAGCAGTTCCAGCCAGCGTGGTGCCAATCTTCACGCTGGCAGCATCAGCAGTTCTGGCCAGCGTGTTGCCAGTCCTCACGCTGGCAGCATCAGCAGTTCCGGCCAGCGTGGTGCCAGTCCTCACGCCGGCAGCATCAGCAGTTCCAGCCAGCGTGGTGCCAGTCCTCACGCTGGCAGCATCAGGAGTTCCGGCCAGCGTGGTGCCAGTCCTCACGCCGGCAGCATCAGCAGTTCCAGCCAGCGTGGTGCCAGTCCTCACGCCGGCAGCATCAGCAGTTCCAGCCAGCGTGGTGCCAGTCCTCACGCCGGCAGCATCAGCAGTTCCAGCCAGCGTGGTGCCAATCCTCACACCGGCAGCATCAGCGCACCGAGGAGCGCGCAGAGCACCGGCCAGCGTGCCGAGCGGCACGGCGACGCGCCAGACGGCCACACCGGAGTCTCGGTGGAGAAGACCGCGTCCGAGTGGTTGCGTGGCACGGGGAGGTTGCAAATGTTTCCTTCGCAGCACGACACGCACTCCTGACGGGGAGGGCGGCAAACGAAAAACGCGAACTTAACGACGAAGGGAAACGGTAGCCACCGTTGCCCCCAGAAGGTTCCGACCGAACGTGGTTCACCCGCTACAACATATATGGATGAGAAAAAAAATTGACGTTTACGAAGGAAAATGGTGAAAAGCGTGCAAAGAAGCTAGAGAGAAACACGCTTGGAATTACCCCCCCCGACAGAGAAATGAGCACATGGATCGGGCAACACGGACAAAGTCTCCAAAGTTGACGTTCATTTTCTACAGTGAAGCCTGCACGAGCCATCATAGCTACGGCTGCCACCTTCTCGGGTACAAAAGGAAAATGGGAATATCACGGGGAGAAGAATATCTCCCGAAAGGGCGGGGGGGGGGGGGGGAAATAACTACTTCACATTGCGAAGTCTTGAGAGGCGTAGTGTTATTGCGTAACTGACAAAATATGCGACGTTTAATGTCCTCGGGACAACTCGGAGATTTCTCAGGACAACAACAGGACCATCCCGGGAAACCCAGGACGGGTAGCAACCCTTGTGAACCGCCAAGCAATATATTAAGTCTGCCTTCAAAACTCACCTCTTTAAACACTCGCCTTCACCCTACGCCTAGTTTTGGCCGTTTACCCTGCAGGTTCCGTTAATTTCCTGGCTTTCCGTAAAACGGCACATCTACGGATGCAATGTGCCACTTAACAAATGTAAATCGTTCTTCTTATCCATAATTACAGGTTTTTTTGGGTTAGATCGCGTAAATATATAATTAGCAAGGTTTATCACGTTACTCGTTGGCTGTGTCAGATGGTTGGCGGATTTAACGACACATTTATATATTTACGCGATCTAATCCAAAACAACTCTATTATGGATGATATTGGTCGAGAAAGCCTATTTACTAATTCTACTTATTATTATTCTACTTATCATCATCATCACTATTAAAGGAAAAGGTTTAAGCAGCCTCGGCCGCGAGCACCCGGCCGGGCGAGACTTGGGAGTTGGGCGGCTCGCTTACCGTGCGGCGCGCCGCGTCGGCGAGCGTCCGGCACCCCGTGGTCCCGACGCAGTCGTGCACGGCCACGCAGCGCTTGGTGACCGACTCGCTGGCGCCGAGCCCGTCCATGAGGTGGCGCGTGTAGCAGTAGCGCGAGCCTGCGCGGCGGCACACACGTCGCACGCAGCGGCGCACTCGCGAGTCGCACCACGGCACGCACGTCGCACCGGTGCGTTTCCGTTTGCTGTCCTTCCCCCCCCGCCCGCACCTCCGATTAGCGCGGAGGCGCGGTGTTTACTACACGCCACGCCGGGTGCTCGTTTGAGGCCGAGTCGACCTAGGGGAGGACCCGGGACCGGTTCAGATAATCGTCACTGGCGGTGGTGGCCGCGAGCCGGGAATAGAACTCTGGACGCAGGGTTTGTAGCGCAGCGTGCTAACCGCTACACCGCCGCTCCCCACATCCCATATAAGACAAAGATCCCCCGCATAGCCTTAATAGACTGTTGGGACAAGTGCTGTTAGTAAGCACCTATGAAGGCCGGCAGGGCACACGAGGGGTGGGTGGGTGGCCAGCACCATGCTCGGCCGCCTTTGTCTCCCCAGTGGCGATGTTTACACACCACCACACCAGGTACTCATTTGAGGCTGAGTCGACTTACATCCCATACACCGCACACACAGCTCACACACAACACACGTGTCGCACGCTTCACACAAGCCACACTCATCGCAAGTGATATTCCTCCTCTTAGGGGCCGTCCATAAATGACATCACGCGATTTTGGACGATATTAGACCCCCCCCTCGTCACACGGGGTCACAAAAAGTCAAACCCGCCCTTAAATATGACGTCACAAAGCTCTGCCCCCCCCCCCCAAAACCACATTTCCATTTTGAAAATAAAACATGCTTCAAATCGCTTTAAACTATTGTCATTGTAGTGCGTATTTAATGTGGCGCTGTACTCTGATGTTGTAGGAGTGTTGTTATATTTATTTAAAGTTGTGCATTTTGATGTGATGTCACATTTCTCAAACCCCCCCCCATCACACATCGTCACAAATGTCTGACCCCCCCCCCCAGGTGCGTGACGTCATTTATGGACGGCCCCTTAACGATGTTCTCATTCCGTGCATACGAAGAAGTGCAAATCTGGACAGATATGGAAAAGGATTGATCCAAGCTCCATTGTTACATCATCCGAATCTTCATTTATCCTGGAGGAATCCGATGAGCTATGAAGCTCTTTTTTCGCAGATGTCCAGTCGAGGTGGGTCAGAGAGTTATTACGACGAAGCCCCACGTGCCCTGCGAAGAGAATGTCGTCCGCGTCTCTTGTGCGATAAGCAAAGGATGCAGAACAACACGGAGACCTGGTAAGAGAAGGCTTCACGCGGAAGGAGCGATGGGCGTTCACCCTATGGGGTGCCACATACTACGGTGATAACGACAGAGTGGCAGCCTCGGGTCGTAACTTCGACCATTGAGATGGATTGATGAAATCCGCCCGGGTGCGGCTGGATTTTGTTACTGTTTGGTTCTTTCGGTAAAGTCACGTAGGTATAAAATAAAATAAATCACGACGTTTCGGGCGCAACACAAGCGTCCATCGTCAGGTGGGAAAGCATGGTCTGCTGCTGAGGCAGACTGTTTTAAAAGGTTTGAAATGGGTGTAGCCCAAGGGTCATAAAGAAGTGGCTGGGGCTAGTGATGCTAATATGAGAAATTAGCATGACCCTTGAGCTACACCCATTTCAAACCTTTTAAAACAGTCTGCATCAGCAGCAGACCATGCTTTCCCACCTGATGACGGACGCTTGTGTTGCGCCCGAAACGTCGTGATTTATTTAATTTCTACCTACGTGACTTTCCCAAAAGAATCAAAGAGTGTGGATTACTGCAGTCACGAAAGCTTCAAATCAAGATGGATTCTGTTATATCGCGAGACATGGTGACCTGGAGAGGCCTTCATCCAGCCGTGGATTGATCACAGCTAATGGTGACGGCGACGACGACGACGATGATGGCATGTATATGTTCATCGATGCAACCGAGTCTCACCTTGTGGGCAGAAGACATCCGGGGCCCAGCGATTGCAATCGTAATTGTCACGGGCATCTTCACACGTGAAGCATTTGAAGCCACCAGGAAATGGGGTTGCTGGTGTGTGAAGATATGGTGGGGGTTGGGGGGGTGGAAATAAACACGTTTGAAAATGAAATTACATCACTTTGTTCACGTCGCTTCTGGCAGAAGAGCCTCCGCCACGGAGTAGCCCTCCTCAAGAGTATGTTGGTCTACTCTTCCAACAGTCGGAATCAAAAGTCCAAAAAGTGTCTGCATGCTCAGATGAGCGTAAAACCTCATAGCAGAGCGTGTGGAAAAGTGAGACCCCTACTACATGGGAGGATCAAAAGGCCAACTTGAAGGATTTTTTTTCAGAAGTCCTATGAAAAACATCTTCTGCAGCCATATTACGACACGCGCCTATGCACTGCTCTGTAAGATATCCGAAGGGATCCCTCGCCTCATTGACATGATGCCGATAAAAAAATTGCAATACATTGTTCTTTGGTTCTTTCGGTAAAGTGACTTTACCGAAAGAACCAAAGAATAATTCCTGCAGTCACGAAAGCTCCAAAATTAAGATGCAATACATTGTTTATTTTAAAAAAACAACGACGGATGTGACGTAGAAATGGGAATGCATTGTAAAGAGAACCGCATTTCATTGCAAGAAACACACATCCTTAGATGGACAGCGCAAAAAATACGAGTGAGAAATATTTGGCAGTGAGCAACTGGAGCCTATGATGAGGAGCCAAAGGGCCCATTAGAGTAGCTCTTATTGGTATTGCCATTGACACGGGGATTTATTCCTTATGTGCAGGTATCACAAGGCCCCCGTGCAAAACGATGTTGGGGTTATTTCCAGATTGGGTTAAACCCACACCACTCAGCCACTCTGCCGGGGCACGATTATATGGCTTTGCTCTGCCGGTCCAAAAGTCTTGGGGAGTCTGCCATTTTCTCATGTCCGTTTTAGAAAGGTGTCTGTACGTATGTGGAACTTCTTTCGCACCGTACATAGCCAACTGTGCTGAACTAAACTATTTCAATGTTACCAGGTAAGGCCCACTGAGCTATATAGCCCTTTTGCAAAAGCGACCTGGCCACAAATGATGGCTCAACAATGTGGCTTATCACGATGTGGACATGTATAGCAGCCGAATACTCCAAAACGCACGTTGATTCTAAATGTAGAGGGGAAACCCAGAGGGAAAACCCGGGAAAAAATCCACGCGACCACGGGGAAAACATGCAAACTCCCAAAATGCAGACGTCAGGGTCGGGATTGGACCCACGACCTCCTGCATACCAGGCGAGGTAGTTGACATCTCGTCACCGTGATGCCCAATTGTAGCCAACCGTGTAATATAAATTTCAGCTCAACTGGGCATCATTAAGGCAGTGTGGCTCCGCGACATCAATGCCTTGATTGTGCCCAAGACTGTTGTTGTACAAAAAGAGTTCTCCGTAAACATTCAGAGCTTTCTTTAAAAAAAATGTTGTATGTCCAAAATGGGAGTGAGATGTCCTCTCCAGCTGAACCATAGTTCAAACAGTCAGCCGGGTAAAAAAAAACACAAGTAATAATGTGGTGACAGAGACCAATGTGCATGCATTGCCCATACAAACACAGGCATCTGAGCAAAAGTGCAATGCCATTAGGATGAACTGGGTTCGACACAGCAATGATGAATCCGAGGCATCCCTCTGTGTTTAAACAGAGCGGGGAGCACCTCGTTCACGACGGCGATGGAGCGTGAAATAACTTTGGACTCTCCAAAGTTTTACGCGACTTGTACCTTGTGTTTGCCCGAAGTTAAAACTGTCAGCAGCCCAGTCCGTAAATTGTTTGCACATCGCGCGGTGATTAATGAACATGAGCACAAAGCCAAACGTGTGATTGTGGCATTAAGAAGGGGTCAGGCCTAATCCTGACCCTGACCCCAGAACAACCTCTTGCAGTAACTTAACGGTGATTTTTTTCTCCCATCCCCTCCCCGTCTTAAATTTATTGTTCGTTTGTCTTTTGGAAACCCATTACTGGGCTCGCTTGTTGTTGTTGTTGTTGGAACAGTCTCCAATCAGGCATGTGGCTTGAACGAGTGACATGTAATGCATTAATGCAGTGTTAGTTGGCGACCCAGTTTTACACGTGGAATTGTAGTGGATTCATTTTCAAATGTACTTTTTCAATAATTTCAGCACGATTGTCATAGCGGTGTACGTCTGTTTAACGTCTTCCGCGGCGTACGTAGCCGACCGTGCTAACCGGAGGTGCGGAAAGACAACAAACTAAAGCCAAAAAGCAGTTCTCAAGAAGTGAGTTTTGAATCTAGATTTAAAAGTGCATAGCTCCAGTGGCTTCCTAATATCGGAATGAAGAGCGTTCCAGACGGCCGCAGAAGCGCGTCTGAAAGTGCACGATTTGGTGACCACCGTCTGTGTTCGGTGGCCAGCAGCCAGAAGACGCTGCTGCTGCTGCGAGGATGACCAGGAGTTCGCGTGATGGTTTATTCTCCTGTCACGTCACGAGACGAAGTATCCACTCGGAAGGAACTCCCATAGCACAGTGAAACCGTTCACGAACGACCCACGGAAGCAGATATCACAGAGCTACCTCTGAGATCCCTTCAAGTGACCTCTGGTCGACACAGTAGAGGGCAACACTTGGAATATTGTAAAACTTTGCATGGCATTGCCATTACCCCCCCCCCCCCTCACCTCCGAATTGTTAACTTAACACATTCCTGCGGAGGGAGCTGGTAGGAACGTTGGGTTTCTTGGTCAATGGCCAGGGTGAACGGCGGCGTGGTGGATTCCGCAAATATGGCCGACTGTGAGGGCGGGCACAAGCCGGCGTGAGTAGGTTAAACGTTGAGTTTTATAAGGGCATCACGGGGTGACCAGCCCCACCCCTCCCACCCCCACCCAGCCCCACCCTAGCCACCCAGCCCCTCCCCAGCCGCTCCACCCAGCCCTTCTCCACCCTCCCCACCCAGCCCCTCCCCACCCTCCCCTTCCCACCCAGCCCCACCCTCCCCATCCAGCCCCTCCCCACCCAGCCCATCCTTGCACGACGGACACAATAATCCCATGTGGGCTGGTATAACCAGGAGGTTCCTACCAGTATTAAATGTACAAGCTTGATGAATGTAAACCGTAACGCGGTAGTCGTTAGTAACAGTGGCTCGATCGCGAGGTGCCAGTCCACACCCTGGCCGGGGCTCGACTCTGCACTTCATCCCTCTCCGAGTATCACTTCGTGGGAAGTTAAAAACGACTGCTCCATGGATAGACTCACCCACCACCATAGGCATGTGGAATTCCTACCACTGCTCGGCCTGACAAACGGGAGGTGAGTACCGGCCCACACATCCACCCATCCATCCATCGCTAGAGCAATCCAATGGTGGGAATTCCACATTACCATGACGAGAGACAGTTTTGACATCCCACAAATAAGGTACATTGTTTAATCGCTTCCAGTGGCATGATTGCCTGGGTTAAACCCCCAAGACAGATTTGAAATGCAAACTTTGTGATCATGAGATGGGTCCACAAACCCACAGCCAGGCTCCAACTGGCTTGCGGTAACGGTTAATCTTCGACACGTTATATATCTGTCAAACAAGAGACTTTGCCCCAGCTTAGTGTGTTCTTATCACTCATCAGCAAGCCACAGATGGTTATACAACTGTGGTGGTGGTTAAGCGGTTAATTACACAATTTATGTAAATAGAGTATTTATAATGTTAGTTTGAGTACCATATAAATAACCTAACCGGCCATGGATACCCATAGGCATCTATATGCATTTATTATCACCCCCCCCCCACTTCGCGCAAGAAATGATCACAAGTGACGTCATCACATCTACCCCTCTATTTCAGGAACGAAACAGGAGGATTTCTCCACAAATCTGGCTGTCGCCTGATGAAGCTAGTTGTAATTACTGGCGAAATGTTGTTCTCGGGTTGTAAATGTTGTGGCTTTGCTCTCCGACACACCGGTGTGCTGTACTAGTGACGAATTGGCATTTTCTGTTTACGTGACAAACCTTATCAATTGGCTGTGGCACGAAAGCCTACTATGGGGCCGTCCAAAAATGATGTCACGCGATTTTGTACGATTTTTGACTCCCCCCCCCCCCCCCCCCCATGCTTCAAATCGCTTTATATAATTGTCATTGTAGTGCGTATTTAATGTGGCGATGCACTGTGATGTTGTAGGAAAAAACATTTATTAAAAAGTCTACTTAAATAAGTAGAACGTGTTGTCTATATTTATTTAAAGTTGCGCATTTTGATGTGACGTCACATTTCTCAACCCCCCCCCCCTCGTCACACATCGTCACAAATGTCTGACCCCCCCCCCCCCAGGTGCGTGACGTCATTTATGGACGCCCCTACGTGTTAAACTGATAGTAGTTATAACTTTATTATAATAACTTTATTATAGTTATAACTGTATTTTTTCCCCTGGTCTCTTGAAAGAGACACTTGGTATCACAGTGGGAACTCACCAGGACATGATGATAATTTATTATTATTGATAAACATAGCACTTTATGCTGATGATGATTGTTGATGGTAGTAATTCATAATTTAATAATTACGACGACAATAATGCTAATTGCTGATTGTCGATTATTGTAATGATGATACTGCCAGTGAAACTGATCATTGGTGGTGTTGATAATGACGATAATAACGATCATCACGAATGATGGTAGTGATTAAATTATTTTGATAACTGACCATTTCTACGATTTATAATTAGTTTATTTTGGGGCTAGATCGTCTAGGTATGTTATAACTAAAATGCTCCACCGCCCAAGGTTACAAGTGCAACGGCTCGGGATGAACATGGTGACGGAATTAAGAAAATTATTTCCACGTGCAGCGTCACTCTTGTATAAAAGCGGTGACGTTTAAGGCAACGACCCTACTTCGTAGAACGTAAACACAGGCCGCAGAGAGTGAGAGAGCGTCAATACGGGTGAGCGACTGCACTTAACACCACCGGTCATCAGTAAACGTTGACACAATTGGAAAAAATAACTTCTGCAACACGCGGTGAACGCGATGCCGCTAGGCCATGTCACTGCCCCCAAATGATATTGCCCTAAAAAGGAAAATACAATTGTATTATGTATCTGCTGTGAAGGGCGAATTGCCCGAAACGTCGCCTATTATATATTTTAAGGCAGCGTCTTATTGTTGTTATTGTAGTGTTCCAAAGCAGCAGCGTCCCCAAATAATTTGTTCAAATTATAATATTGGAGTTTATCTTCTTGGTTCTTTCGGTAAAGTCACGTAGAAGGGAAATAATAAAATAATAAAAATAAAACATAAAAAATACAATGTTTTATTTTTATTATTTTATTATTTCCCTTCTACGTGATTTTACCGAAAGAACCAAGAAGATGAATCCCTGCAGTCACGAAAGCTTTAAATCGAAATATTGGAGTGTATTGTTATCATCATCATCATCATGCTACTGATGATGAATGTGTGTATGCTGAACTTTGTTCGCACCATACGTAGCCAACCGTGCTAATCGGATGTGCCGGAGGGGGGAGCGGGGTGAACGACAAACTAAAACACACACACAAAGAGTAGTTTTAAAGATGACAATAATTTGTGATCGTGACGGCGATGTTACGGTGATGATGATGTTACGGTGATGATGACAATACGTCGATGCGTACTCGGAGGTGCACACTCACTGGCTGGGTAAAGGTGAACGATGTCTTGTGCCGTGAAGTCTCTTCCTCCTCCTCCTCCTCCAGCTGCCACCACAAGCAGCACCACGCGCGACATCCAGCAGAGAGCGACTCCGATGATCAACACCACGGCGCCGGGCAGGCTCATGGCATCGTGTGTCCCACACACATACACACACCCTCGTCTACAGATAGATAAGCCACATATATAGACAAAGACAAGACCCCCCGTATAGCCTTAACATACTGTAGGGGCAAGTGCTGTTAGCGAACACCTATGAAGGCCGAAACGGTACACGAGGGGGTGGGTGGCCAGCACCACGCCCGACCGCCTTTGTCTCCCCAGTGGCGATGTTTATACACCGCACTAGGTACTCATTTGAGGCTGAGTCGACCTAGGGGAGGCCCAGGACCGGTTCAATTAATCGTCACTGGTGTTGGCCGTGAGCGGGAATCTAACCCGGGTCGCCAGGTTCATAGCGCAGCGCGCTAACCGCTACACTACCGCTCCCCACTACATACACACACATACACCCTAGTCTACAGATAGATAGCTACACACACACACATACACCCTAATCTACAGATAGATAGCTACATACACACACATACACCCTAGTCTACGGATAGCTATATTTTTCAGTCTTCAGTTTCATGTATTTGGTATAGCTCTGTGAGCCATTCGGCTCTTGAATCGAGTGCAACCGCAACAAACAAAAACATGAACAAGAAACATCTTAAAGCGGCTACGCGCAAACAGAAAAATCCAGGAAAAAACAGCAAAGTCTTCCAGAAAATGCACCGCATATCAACGCTGTGTGCAAAAATCCAAGTGGGATGCAAATAAAACAATAACAACCATAAGACAAGTTATATTAAAATTATCAGTCTAACTCTGTACTTCAACAAACAAATATGGCTAAGCAAAAACGTTTTCGAAATCACCACAATAAAGCTATAAAAGCAACGTAACAGTGATCATAGGAACTGTGATTAAAATGTTACAATAAACGATATACATAACATGTACGACGAAACTTTTCAGCCATAGCTGGCTGCACGAGTCACTCCATAACAGCAGAAGTAACAGTAGGAGTATCAACAATTTTCAATGCACACACACACAAGCTACACGTGCACGTACAAGCTTGTCGATACGACGCACCCGACTGCCGGTCTGTAATACACTGATCGCACACAGCACGCCCACAGATGGTCAGTCTCAGCTCGTGTGTGATTGAGTGAGTGTGAGTGAGTGTGTGTGAGTGAGTGTGTGAGTGAGAGTGTGTGAGTGTGTGTGTGAGTGTGTGTGAGTGAGTGTGTGAGTGTGTGTGAGTGTAAGTGAGTGTGTGTGAGTGTGAGAGTGTGGGAGTGTGTGAGTGTGTGTGAGTGAGTGAGCGTGTGTGAGAGTAAGTGTGTGTGAGTGTGTGTGACTGAGTGTGTATGAGAGTGAGTGTGTGTGAGAGTGAGTGTGTGTGAGAGTGTGTGAGAGTGTGAGTGAGTGTGAGTGAGTGTGAGTGAGTGTGTGAGTGTGTGTGAGTGTGAGAGTGTGGTGTGTGAGTGTGTGTGAGTGTGAATGAGTGTGTGTGAGTGTGTGAGTGAGTGTGAGTGAGTGTGTGAGTGAGTGTGAGTGAGTGTGAGTGAGTGTCAGTGATTGTGTGTGAGTGAGTGTGAGTGAGTGTGAGTGAGTGTGAGTGAGTGTGTGAGTGAGTGTGAGTGAGTGTATGAGTGAGTGTGAGTGAGTGTGTGAGTGTGTGCGCACACGTGAGATGTCAAAGCTGTCGTGAGTCTCGCTGTCACCCTCTCAGGCATCGCTTAGCTCTCTGCTACGGAGGAAGGCACATCGTCCGAAACGTCGCCGACTATTTACAATCTTGTTTTCTTCCCTTTGGGCAAAGTCACCGATGATGGGATGGAGTGTGCTTGAGGTTGTTGTTGTTGTTGTTTTTGCTACTTGTTTTGGGCCACGCTGTGTGAACGTGTGTGTTCAGTTGTTAAAGTGAAACGTCACTCTGCCTTCATGCGTGATCCGCGATTTGTTAGCGGATCACGCAATAGCCTAAGTGTATTGTGGGTTATAATTCTGTGTATAACTGGACATTCTGAAAAAAAATGCTTCTTTACATCGAAGTATATTTTAATCGTGCATTTCAGAACACATGCAAAGAGTGGTTATATACACTGCGTGTGCATGTGTAATGCCATCAACACTAACATGCATCTGCAATGTGTATGTGCACTATGCGTATAATATATGCATATGTACGTGTGCGTAATGCGTAAATATGCACTACATGTGTATAAATGATGCGCTACTATATATGGTACAATTTGACATTTAAAAGGTGTTGTGTATGTCTGGCTATACTCATATATATACGTTCATTTGTTTGTGCGGTGTACAGCTAAACTGCAATAGGCGACCGAATGTGTTGCTTACACACAGCTCGTATAATAATAATTATCAGGGTTTTTTCGGTAAAGTCACGTAGGTAAAAAATGTAATTTAGTTAGATCATTTTTGCATGGTTAATAACATCTAACTAATTTTATTTTTTTTACCTACGTGACTTTACCGAAAAACCTAAGAATATGAATCCTTGCAGTCACGAAAGCTTCAAATCTAGAAATAATTATCAGAACTGCTGTACTCACCCGGCCGATGTGTCCTCCCCTCCGCCTCCATCAACCCGCGCCGCCCAGCATGGCGAAGTATGGTCATGCAACCTCACAAGTGCGACGCCTTCATCCACAGCAGTGGATTAACAAAGGGGGCTGCTGTGGAGGTTTACGCACGCGGCCCTGTTCTAGATTTCATTAAAGAACGCACGTGCACACTTGCGACCCCCACTTCTCAACTTTTTCTCGGGATGCGCGAGTTCTTATATAGACTCTAGCAACACACCCCTCTCATCCACCCCACCCACCTCTCCGTGCACTCCTCTCCCCACCTTTGCCCCACCCTCCCTCTCCACGAACCTGCACCAAAGACAAAGGTCCCCCGTGTAGCCTGCAACAGGCTGTTGGGGCAAGTGCTGTTCAACCTACGAAGGCCGGGACGGCACACGAGGGGGTGGGTGGCCAGCTCCACGCCGGGCCGCCTTTGTCTCCCCAGTGGCGGTGTTTACTACACACCGCACCAGGTACTCATTTGAGGCTGAGTCGACCTAGGGGAGGACCAGGACCGGTTCAGATAATCGTCATTGGTGTTGGCCGTGAGCGGGAACACACACACTAACACACAAAAAGACGAATATTTCCCCGTATAGCCTTAACAGACTGTTGGGGCAAGTGCATGGATTCGATCCCAACCCTAACGCCTGTAGATTTGGAGTTTTCATGTTCTCCACGTGGTCGCGTGGATTTTTTTCTGGGTCCTTCGGTTGTTCTCTCCACATTTAGAAACAACGCGCGTTTTAGAGTATGCGGCTATTGCTATACATTTCCACGTGATACGCCACTTCGTTGAGTTGTAATTTGTGGCCAGGTCGCTTCTGAAACATCAGCTATACAGCTCCGTGGACCTTAGCTGCTCATATAAAACATAGTTTAGTTTCGTAGCGTAGCGCGCTAACCACTGCGCCACCGCTCCTGCATCTCACCGCACTCACCATCACGCAATGCTACAAATGCTACGGGCCCCGCACTTTCAAGGGCCCCGCGCTAAATGCTTTCAAGCTATCAATTCCGGTTCAGTGATTCTGCACTTGCTCTATTACTATAGTACTATACTGCCTTCAACTTTTATGAACGACCGGGTGTTTAAGGTTAGCGATTTTTCATATTATCTGGCTGTATAGCAAATTTTAAAAAGTGCAATTACTTTACTATGCAATATAATTAAAACATGTTTTTAATATGTATGTGTTTAGGGCCCCTTTATAACATATCCTACATGCCTTAATCCGGCACTGCCAATGACGCACGCTCTGTTGAGACTGGCCGCTGTGTGTACGACCTGTCAAGCAGGACGGATGGATTTGCCTGTTGTGGACGGCTCGGAATGTGTGGTTGGGAGCTACTGGCCGCAACTGGAGTTTTATCACTTTAGGTGGCACTCCCATTGTCCATCATCAGTTGTTGCAGGCACGCGGCTCCACATTGCACGATCGTAAACCTGCCCCTTCCGTCCTTATCACCTGCTGTTAAGATGTGGGGTTTTGTTTTAGCACCTGCCCGTGGTATTTTTGAGTAGGGGAAACCTTTCAGGCTGTGTGTCTGTATGTCTGTATGTATGTGGTGTGCAAACATCGCCACTAGGGAGACAAAGGCGGCTGGGCGTGGTGCTGACCACCCGCCCCCTCGTGTGCCGCGCCGGCCTTCAAAGGTGCTCGCTAACAGCACTTGCCCCAACAGTCTGTTCAGGCTATACGGGGAATCTTTTTCTTTGTGCCTTCATAGGTGCTCGCTAACAGCACTTGCCCGAACAGTCTGTTCAGGCTATACGGGGAATCTTTTTCTTTGTGCCTTCATAGGTGCTCGCTAACAGCACTTGCCCCAACAGTCTGTTCAGGCTATACGTGGAATCTTTTTCTTTGTGCCTTCATAGGTGCTCGCTAACAGCACTTGCCCCAACAGTCTGTTCAGGCTATACGGGAGATATTTGTCTTTGTATGCCTGAGTGGAGAGCGGTGGCGAAGTGGTTAGCGCGTTGCGCTCACGGTCAACACCAGTGACGATTACCTGAACCGGTTCTGGGCCTCCCCGAGGTTGATTCAGCCTCAAATGTGTATCCGGTGCGATGCGTAAACATCGTCACTTTGGAGACAAATGGGGTAGGGTATGGTGCTGTCGACCCACCCCCTCGTGTAGATTTCCGGCCTCCAGATGTGTTCGCTAACAGCACTTGCCCCAACAGTCTGTTTAGGCTATACAGGGGATATTTTCTTTTGTATGCGTATGAGGAGCGGTGGCGCAGTGGTTAGCGCGCTGTGCTACCAACCCCGACGAACCGAATTCGATTCTCATCTCACAGCTAACATCGGTGACGAATATCAAAACCGGTTCTGGGCATTCTCCTAAGTCGACTCAGCCTTAAAAAAACGAGTACCCGGAGTGAGTATGCGTATGTATGAAAGTCTACTGGCTGCATACAAAAAACAAACAACCCACTCACCTCTCGTCCATTCTTTCCAAATTAATCATTCATTTCTGATTACGAAACCTCGGTGCAGATGTTTAAATTGCCCATTGTTCTCTGTGTACTGCCTCTTCCCGTTTGATTCTCAGGCAGACTTTATCCGGCCCTTGTGATGTTCCCAAGACTCTTATCTTGAGTTACACACGGAGCGCTATGATGATCTGGCTTGATAATCTGTTAACAACTTGGCCTGCCGGTTATTGACAGTGTGGTCAAAGGTGCATTGATCTGTGTCCCTTACAAAACACTGTGTGTATCTGAAAACAAAAGACAAAAGTAAATGCAATATGGTCAGGTCGGTTAATTGTTTGGCAAAATGAATGAGTTTCATGTGTTTTTATTTGGTCATAAGGAAAGCCCACTCGAAACCAATACGCCATTTGACTGGCTCACAGCCCACATTCCTTACAATATCAGTAATCCTTTAACTTGTTTTAACGAAGATAGGTCACCAAGTGTAGAGATGGAGCGATGACGTTAGCTTGTGTGCAGGGGCGTGGTGGATTGGTTCATCGATAATTTCAGCCAGTAGTTTATATGAAGTGTGTGTGTTGCCAATACCATATATTAAATCCAGTAGCAATGCGTTTAACGAGCCTGACTTTCATGATGAGAGACATAAGGTCGAAGAAACCGGTCTAGCGTTTGCTTATTCTTGGTTCTTTCGGTAAAGTCACGTAGAAGGGAAATAATAAAATAATAAAAATTAAACAATAAAATTCGCACGACGTTTCGATTGCAACACAAGCAATCATCATCAGGTGCGAGAATTGTATTGTTTTATTTTATTATTTTATGATTTCCCTTCTACGTGACTTTACCAAAAGAACCAAGAATATGAATCCCTGCAGTCACGAAAGCTTTAAATCGAAATTTAGCGTTTGCTTGTTTAAACAAATGTTGCTCAACAATATTGGTCTGGTAAGCCTAATGGGTTGATGGACTAACACATTTTTATTTTCTCATATTATCTTTTCCATGTGATAAGATCCACATGTATTTTTTTATCTCCCGTATACGTGTTATGAACACAAGTTAGGTATGGTCTGTGTGTGTGTGTGTTACCAGATTTGCATAACTATATTTACATCAGACACACACGTTTGGGGGTTGATTTACTTTCCACAGAGTCTTATACTCCTGAGAATTCGGTATATGGGGAAGCTTCTGTACATATATATACAAATATTCCCCGTATAACCTTAACAGACTGTTGGGGCAAATGCTGTTCGCGAGCACCTATGAAGGTCAGCACGTAACACAAGGAGGTGGGTGGCCACCACCACGCTCGGCCGCCTTTGTCTCCCAAGTGGCGATTTTAACACACCGCACCAGGTAGTCATTTGAGGTTTAGTCGACCTAGTGGAGCAGGCCTTGGACCGGTTCAGAAAATCGTCGCGCTAACCACTACCAATACCCGCCACTAAGTGAGGGTAACATCACCACGGCGCCTGTGTCGGGCCATGTGCACTTTGAGGCCACGTGAAGTGTCGAAGGCTCGCTGACAGGAGGTTTCGGGACAGACCCTGCAGGTGCCATGGCTTGGCTGACTGCGATGACGGAAAATGCACCAGCTGTATCCCCTATTGTGCCAACTTGATGTATTTTATCAGCCCTGCGCTCCGCTCATTGTTGTGAGCGTCGCTCCTCTGCCCTCAGTTGTTGTTGGAGGGCGACTGCCTTCAACTGCCCAGTAGAGTCCTTCGCGAGCCTCCTCCATAGAGACCGATATTGACACCGCTGGTGCCAGTTGTCGGCAAGTCTGTTCAGCTCCATATCCTCCCCAACCGTATCACTCCATCTCTTCTCCAGCTCATGTCGTACCCGTTTAGCCCCCTCGATGTGGCCAAACGGAAGCTGCTTGAGCATGCGGTGACTGGGCATGGCCCAGCGAACGCAGCCTTGCCTGCCCGAGGAGCTCACTGATGGGAATGTGTCCAGATATTTCAAGGATTTGTGAGCTCCTCACACAATGCAGCCTGGTTAAACTCAGTATGGATCGTATAGATAGGCCAGCCTGAATGTTTCTAGCCGGCGCAGATGTTTCATTAGAGGGGCCCACGTTTCACAAGCATAGAGAATGGATATATAATACACCCACGAGCTTCTTTCTAAGTTTGGAACATTCTTATACACATTAACCTGAACTCGTACAAAGCACTTCCCATCAGCAATGAAAACAAACGCAGTCGCGAGCAAGGTAAACACTAAAGGGGGGGGGGCGGGGGACTGTGTTTATGGACCCCAATGGACAGGGAGGGGGTGGAGAGAGGCCGGTCCGGATTTAG